ATATCTTGATGTTTAGAGATGTTCACACATGCATGGTGATCATTTGAGATATTATAGGGTTTTAATGTGTTAAACGGTATTCAAATATATTAACTAATCTAGATTGGAATTCAATAATGATAAATGAGATCAAAATTTGAGATCAAAATCTGAACTAATGACATAATATAAGTTAGGGGTGTTCGCGGTGTGGTTTGGTTTGGACTTTAATCTTTTTTAAACCAATCTAATTTAATCGGTTAATAAAATTTTTAAACCAATCCAATCCATTATTATATTATAACCAAACAAATCCAACTTAAATCGGATCGGTGTGGTTCAGTCGGATTGATCGATTTTTAACACTATTAAATATATGAGATAATATTAAAAATTTTAACAGTAAATAAAAAATATAGTTATAAAATACATTAACATCCAAATTACTAGAAACATAATAAAATGTACAAATTATAAACAAGTTTTTATACTCATTTACAATTGTAAAAATTGAAAAGATTTGAAAATTTTTCTTGACTATATCACTAGAGGCATCAAGAATAATAAAAGATAACTTTAAATTTTAAATACAGTACAAGTAATTCTTAAAGGTTAAAATTAATTTTTTTTCCTTAATGCAGCAGATGATTCAATCCCATCTTCTAAACCTTGTTAAAAGCACTTAAAATTTAACATAAATGTCATTAGGAATGATTAGAGGCATTTATAATTAAAATTTAAAACTTCTTAACCAAATATTCAAAAATAGTAGAATATCAAATTTAGTTCTATTATATGATTTTAAGACTTTTAGAATTATATTTCTTAAAATTTAATTAAGAGAATCATAATATTATTTTAAGAACAAATTAAAAATTTAGAATTATCAAAATAGAGTCATAGACTAGTTATAAGAAATAAAGTTACAAGTGAATTGGAAATTTAGAATTAGAGTTAGAATGCATGATTTAGAAAGCAAAATAAATTAGAAAATATAGGGATATTCTATTTTTATTTTTAAATTAAGTTAATGAAGTTATCATCTTATAAAATAAGAAAAAAAATTAAAATATTACCAAAAA